TGGCCTTGCAGTAATAGGCCTTGGGTTACTGCTGTCTTCCTCTTGTGAGATTAGAGGAGATCAGAACATGTGGCCTCCTTGCCGTTTTTGCAGTGGGTTTACAGTTTTTGTCAAATTTGAAAAAATAATCCAGCTCCTGTTTCATCAGCTGTTATCTGTTCTTTTCCCAGGGTACCAGGAGGGCCTGGTTCTCTGGCCTCTTGCTACATGGTTCTGACCAACCGATATGTCACTGACCATATGTTCTTTTTCCCTCTCTCTCTTTCTCATTTTGTTTTAGTTTCTGTAGCTATAACTTCAATATGTAATCTGATTTTAAGCCTACCTAGTATACTTTTCAAGGAGCCCTGGTGGCACAGTGGTTAAAGAGCTCAGTTGCCAACCAAAAAGTTGGTGATTCAAACCCACTAGCCACTCCATAGGAGAAAGATGTGGCAGTCAGCTTCCGTAAAGATCACAGTCTTGGACACACTGTGGTGCAGTTCCACTCTGTCCTCTAGGGGTGCTGTGGGTCAGATTTGACTCGGTGGCCATGGGTTTCAGGTAGTGTTGGATCCTGTATTTTTCATGTTTAGTTGTTTCACGTGGGTCTTTTCTATATGTTTCATCTCTGTCTCGTGTGGCCCCGTGTCCTGCACCTCCGAGAACATGTGGAGTGTATTTATAGCAGCTGTTTTCAGGTCTTTGCTGATTCCATCACTTGTGCCATTTCTGGGTCTGTTTTTGTTGATTAACTTTTCTCCTGGGTGTTGACTCTCGCTGGTAGGAACATGAACTGTCGCAGCCCTGTGTGAGTGGGGAAGCTTTTTGGTCGACTGGTTTCCACACACCGTTTCCTGGTCTCTCGTGGTTCCTCTCCCATGTGGAACTGAGGATTGTTCACTCAGAGACCGTCACCCACTCTCTGTCTCCTGCAGCCACCTCCTCTCTGGGTCTGCACCCTAAAAATTATAGCTGTGTTGGCCCCCTCATCCTCCCAGGCCTGTCTCCCTCAATTTGATGAGTGAGACCACCAGGCTCTACTCGGGTCCCGTCTTGCTTGGGGTGAGCTGGGGCCAACGGAGGGCTTGCGTCGACGGCACCGGGTCGTTAGAGTGGTTTCCACAGTTGCTCACAAAACATAATGACTCGAGTGTTACCCTTTCTCTTACTCACTAACATACTAGTAGCAGGAGGCAGGGAGGTGGGGTTCTCAGCGTGTCCTGGTTAGTCATGTTTCTGTTGTATGGATGTTGTTGGCCACACAGCAGAGTATGAAGGTGAAGACGTAGGTCCCTGAGAAGAGGCAACAGTTAAGGGCCCCTCACAGGGGTCTTTGTAGGGCACAACGCAGCTGGAGTAACGGGTGAGAATGAAGGGGATGCCTCTGGGATGGTATTGCGAAGGAAGGAGGGGGCCTCCAGCTTGTTTGGATTAATGATTGCTTGATAAAGGGGAAAACGTTTTGCAAACACTCGCTTTGGATTGTATTTTTAATGTTTGTAAAGCACAGTTACAGACCGTTGACGTTGAGTCTGAGTGGATGCCGTGACCTGTCATGTCCTCACCAAGCGTTAATGAAGATGTGCATGCGAACGGAACATGTTGGCCGTCACCTGGAGCGCTGATTGATTGCTTCTCTTTGGTTTTCTCTAGAGCCTTGCTTCCTGTCTTACATCACAAATCTAAGAAAGGGCCCCCCCGGCAGGCCAAGTACGCCATCCACTGTATCCACGCCATATTCTCTAGTAAAGAGACCCAGTTTGCACAGATATTTGAGGTAAAGACAAAAGCCATTGTCTGTTTGTTTGATGTGTTGCTATTAATAAGCAAATGCTGATCTGACTGGGTGTTCATGTTGGGAAATGCATCGTGGTGCATCGTATTTTTCTGAACTGGACTCTGTTCGATCAGCTCTGATAGCGGTTAGGAGGTGAGAGGCCCTGATGATGAACGTCGCGTGAGCTCAGGCTCTGAGCGCTGACCTTGGTGCAGATTGAGCGACCGGAGACTTCGCATGGACACGTCATGACGTGTGAAAATCGTAGTCACTAGCAGCAGCTAACAGATTATTACTCTGCTGACTGATAGTGGTGACAGCTTGGAGTTCTTTCCCTGGTACACTGCCAAGAGGCAGGCTCTGGAAAATCAGTTCTGATTTTTAACGTAAAGCAACTAAGTTTATACCTTTGTGGCTGACCTAATTTTGTGTCAGATACAAAGTGTGTCTTTTAACATATATTTCACGTTACTTCCCCTATGCTTTAATTGACCTTTACCCTTTCTAAGCATTGTGATTTGATTGTAATCTATTATAATTGTGGGCTATCTTTAGCGCTGTTAACAGAAAATATGGTAAATCCGAGTAATTTAGCCCCGGAACCTTAAGTGAAGACAACACTGTCAGGTCTGCTGAAGCTGCCTAGTGCAAGTGCTTCCAGACGTTTCTCTGGTCCAGACCCTCCGATGCCCATTTTGTTGTATTTTTATGTGTCATTGCCACCTTGTTGCATTATGTTACAGGACTGAAAGGGGAAGGGAAGGGAAGCAGTTCCTTTAACTGTGGACAAACTGTACCTCTGTTTCAAGAACAAGTCATTTATTTTAAATTGTGCGTGTCTTTTGTGGGGGATCTGTTTTCTGTAGGATGTTTTTGTGTTATGAGAATGCCTGCAGTAAATAACCTTTGCTTTTCTCGATTTATCACCTTTTTCTTCCGTTCAGTGATGAGGATGAGGAAGATAACACACTAATTGGTTGGGCAGGGTGCTTTGCCTTCATTTTGATACTGTGCCTTGTTTTGTTTCATCTTTAGAAGAACCCTAACCCACGCTCCCCCTTGTGAGCATGCCAGCTCAGCTGGTTTTTTGAGGAAACGTTTCCTGCATGAGACCGGCCTTCGGGAGCGTCCCACTAGTCCCAGGCCGGCCCACCATTTTGCCTTTTCAGAAACCGTTTTATAACGGTTGTGGAAAATGATGAGAGTCATTATAATGAGCTAATTAACGATAGCTCTTTACAGCACCAGCGTTAGCGCACGTAGCTGGCTGGCCCTGGGGTCCTGAGGCATTACCTAGAAGCAGC